GTTGGACCAGTTGCTATTAAGTTAGCTTCATTGTTAAGAGTTCTTCTTCAATTGCCTGCTAATGGTTGGTGATTAGCCATTGTCCCCCTGGTGCTTGCCAGGGAGTGACACTGGGACCCTGCAAGCAGCAGGGCAGAGGAGTGGCATCAGAGCTAGTATGCAGAGGAGAAATGCATTGCACCAAATTTTACAGTTTTCCAGGAAAACCCCTAAAAACAACGAGCCAACATAGAATTAGGGGACCTAGGTGATGTCTAAGGATGGGCGCGTAGTCCAGTGCCTGCTTGGATCCTTTTTGCTTCTCACCCTCACCTAAAAAGATGTTGACTAGGGAGAGGACCTGAGGTGTTGGACCAAAAAGATGGAATCTGCTAATTTCTCGTGAGGACGCAGTCCCCAGCTCCGCCTTCAGACCAGCGGACAAAGCTGCATCATCATCCTCCTCCGTGCCACTCCTGGGAGCGACTGCGGCATGGGCGCGACCCGTTGGATTCTCCCCACCTGAGCTGAATCTCTTTAATAAAGGCATTAAAAAGGAGAAAGATCTCCTGCCCATATATATTCAATAAGAATTTAGTTACTAGGTAAAGGCCATAAAGATTAAAAAAAAACCCCAACACTCAGTAAAGCCAGACTCAGGTATTGTTGAAACCCATAAAGCAGAACCTTTTGCTTAAGGAGCCATCAAGAACCAGGCTCCTGGTTTTGGCCAGGACAAACTGACCTGAGCGAAAGCCAAACCTCCACTGTGCATGCCCAGAAGAAAGGGTCAAGCAGCGAACATCAAAGATGATGTTACTTCATCAAAGACGCCCACCCATGACCACCAGGAGGCGTGGCACCACCAAAGACTCTGGGTGGGAAATGGGCAGGCAGGGAGGTGTGGGCTTGAGGGATCAATGTGTATTTAAACCTGAAATCTGTCTCACCAGGCACACATGTCTTTGGTGGAAATATCTCCCATGTGTCCCAGCTGGAATAAAACATACCTGCTTTACAATTTTTAATTGTAAAGTCCTTATTCTGCAAATCACTGTTTCAATCTGCTCTGGACTGAAAACCCAGAATAACACTGGGAGGTAACACCTGTGGCCCACTGGGGGCCCAGGATGCTGCATTCCAGCACTGGAGGACTCTCTCTGAACTACAGAAGGACTTTCTGAATTTGCCATCTCTTTAGAACAGTGAGAGGTTTTATTGTTTAATATTATTCCTTTTTCATGCTTGTGAATACTTTGCTTGTTAAATAAACAGTTTTTCCACTTTTCTCCAAGGATATTATTGTCCTGAACTGGTTGGGGAAGGGGGCTGCTGAAATCTATTTTTAGAGGAGACTGCTTTGGAGATTTCCTCCCAAAATTTGCCCTAAACCAGGACATCCACTAACTAGACAAGTATACCATAGGATAATCACTGCCTTTTATTGTTCTTACCCCAGATGAGTGACCCAGTTACTACTAGGGACTTTACCATATGCACTTCATCACAGAACATAGAGGCAGCAGATTAAGGGAAACTACTGATAATTTCACATTTAAAAGAATAAATTATTTGCCTTTTCTTTAATCAGACATGAGAACTGCTGCCATTTATAGGATATATTGTTGTAGTGTGTTTTTTGTTTTATTAGTATGTTTACTGTTTGATTTGTAATTTTGTAGTTTCCTTATGCTGTTCCTTTTGTCCCTGCCCTTTTCCCATAATTTTTTTACTCCTCCTTTCATTAAATGCCAGTCTTTTCCCCAACCTGCCTTCTTTTGAGAAATTTCCCTGTCAGTTTTGTATTTCTCCAAACTTTATTAGCTCACTGAAAATGTTCTCCTCCCTTGAAATTCTTTATTGGTTTATACATTGTATTCCCCACCTTGTTTTTTACTTTCAATGCTCCTGATTTGTTAAAGATTGTATCCTTCCCTTGGGACCTGCCCCCATATATGTCATTGTCTGCCCCCAGTTTGGGGTCCTGGGACACTGAAGAGGGGAAGTTTTACCATCGAATAAAGTTACCCCAGGACCCATGGTGCTGCTCTTTGTTTATGCTGTGCCGTCACTGGTAGCTGGGATTCAACAGGGCTCAAAGGGGGGATTTGCCGCCTTCCCTGTCACCATCTAGCCGGGACGAGCGGCAGTATATATCCCCATTGCTTTGGTGTAGTAGGCCTTTCTCTACTATGGTGACATTATCAGCTTTACATGGACAAACACACCATCCCTGCAATATTCAGGAGAGTATTTCCCCCCATACTGTACCAGCCACAGTAACCCTGCTGGCCTCCAACCTAAAAATGAAATTGCCTTGCTTTCAAGAGAGCAAGAATGCAAGTTCTCTTGTATTTCTCAACTTTTTTCTTTTTTTTTTTTTTTTTAGAGAGAAATTCTGCAGTGCACATGCTTCATTTCAGTCAAGCTTTTGATGTTTTCTTCCACAATGACCTTGAGAACAGATTCAATTTTGTACTCCCTACTCCCAGAACAACTTAAAACCTTCCCTTCCTGGTCTTCCAGGAGTTAAGAACACTCTGCTTGCCTATCTCAACCAGCATGGTCTAGCACTGTTTAGTTAGGCTGCCAAATCTAGTGGCTAGCAAGTCCCAACATTATTTGTGTCTTTAAGTCTTCCACACTTGTTTCAAGAACCTTATTAGTCAAAGCAGCTATCACCTGCTATAGCCAGAAAAATCTATCAAGAGAAAACATGATTGCTCTTTATATCTGGCTATTTCCAACCTTCCCTGACATATTTGATTTTGGCCTTTGAAAGAGACTTTCAGTGGTTTATGGAGGTTTCCCAAGGAAAGCAAATTACCTTTTGAAATTTTACATTCTGTCTTGCCTACAAAATAATGAACAGGAGAACCACCTGCTGTAATTCACGGTAGCATCCCATGAACTCTCTCTCCTCAGCCAATTCCCAAGCGCATTGCCCTGGAAAGACTTACCATAGAATTCATTCCTCCTGTGGGAAAAGACAAGACTCCCCCATGGACCTCTGTCTCACTTATCCCTATATTTTGCAACCTACCCTGGTTTTTCCTTTCCCTGTTTCCTCATTGGTTGGGTACCCCTGGTGGCTGCCCCTCTCCCCTGGAGACCAATCCCCTTTGCCCTGCCCTTAGCTCTGCCCTCCCATCCCTTCCCATTCTTAAACTGTTCAGAGCAGATGCTCTTCCTCTTTTGCCTGGGTTTCCTTCAGCCTCCATGTAATAACATGATCTTTCCCTCACCGACCCCAGTACCCCCTGGTGGTCTCTTCCTGGGCAAAGAGACCCTCCCCTCGCCACTCCTCACTGATATCCCATTGGCTGTGGACCTCTTCCTCTGTCCCCATTCCCCAGGGTATAAAAGTCCCCTGCCACCAGGGAACGCTCTTTCTCCCATGGGTTTGTCCACCTGGTGTGTCTCTTGGAATAAAGGAGAACGTTTCCCATGTGGAGAAGAGCATTTCTCAATCTTTTACATTCGTCTATGAATTATCGTGTGGGCAAGGGTCCATAGCTAGCTGGAGTGGACCCCAACAGCCCGGCAGAAACCTCGGAAATTCAGGTGGCGCCCTATGTTGGGCTCCATTTGATGCAGTTCGTTTGGGGAGTCCCTGGAGGGCCCCCTAAGCTGTGAGTTGGCTGGTAGCAGCAGGCAGGCAAGGAGGCTCCACACGGCTTCTGAGGGTGCTGATTAGATGAGTGTTTATTGGGGGTCCCACCCCCGGGAGCAACATGGTTTCTGAGGGAGAAGGGGGGAAAGGGGAGGGAGGGGGAGAAAGGGAGAGCCTAGGGAGAGAAGGGCCAAGAGAGAGTCTGGTCTCCCTCGCACAGCTTAACAGGGAGATTCAAAGTGGGCGTGGCATAAGACTTGGGCCAATGGGATTACAGATACATGAGACTTCAGGGGAGAATCACAGCTTGGAATAAACCATACATTTTCAAGAGGTGAGACAAAGCATACCATTTAACTAAAATTCAACACCACATAAAACCTCTGCTGGAACATACCCTCAAAAGAGCCTTCTGCCTCTCTTGCTGAGCCAGCTGTGGTGAGTGTTGCGTGTGGATCTGACTGTGTTGCCTGAATGTTAACCCAACCTGCTTTTCTACAGGAGAGGTTTGTTGGGAACAGATAATAGGCAGCAGCACCCACCATCCAACTCTCGCATTTTTAGTTCATCATGTATAAAAACCTTGTTACTTACCAAGATAGCAGCATGCAAGACTCTACATTTACTCCTTTTAAGTCAGAACCAACACTACAAAAGGAGGACACAGATAGTTGTATAAATACAAGGAAACACCATGTTAACATGAGTTGGCACAACCTGAATCAGTACTGGTACAATGGCAGCATTTTTCTGAAGTTTCTGGTGAGGACTGCAGACAAGGAAACAACCAAGAATAATTTACAGACATCTGCAGAGGCATGAACTTCTATACTAGGGAAAGGCAGAACAGTACTCACTTAAGAACTGTGCAAGTTGGCAATAGAGGCTGGTATCACTGATTAATTATTTAACACCAACACTACTGAGTTGGACAATAGTGGTCTTTGAGACAAAGAAGTTATCTTGCATTTCCTGCAAGAGAAAGAAACCACCCGAGGGATACAGACAGTGACAAAAATCAACAGAAAATGTTGGCAGAAGCACTTGGACTGAGATTGCATTTGTCATTCACCTCATACTGAAGGAGAGGAAAGGAAGTTGCCAAGACAATAATTTATTCGCTTTCTCACCTAAAGTTCAGATGAACAAAATAAAGAATCCTGATGTGCAGGAAGAACCTACAGGATTTAGATCTAAAGCAAAGCAATAATCCAAGATTATAAACAATTTTTGCTAACACTGTGACATATGTTATGTACAAAATTAAGAGCATAAGACAGCATAGCAGGGCATAAACTATATTAACAAGACAAGGCATCAGCAGACATTGATGTCCATAAGATAATATCAGATCAATTTTTTTTTTTTGTTCCTTGCTTAAAGAAAAGAAGACAATCTGCATAAGAAAAGAGAAAATCCTCAAGCTTATCAGAGAACATAACTGGCATTTGCAAAAAATACTGACTAGAAAACATATGAAAGAAACCTTCTTACACACTGAAGACAGACAGAAGAACAGTGATGCAATGGCTAAAGAAGTAGGAGGAAGAGAAGCTAAAGAGTCTCATTTAAGATGAGTAAAGGCAAAAAAACCAGTCATGGGTTGCAAATGCAGGAGGGAGCATACAGGACAATACATCTGACACACCAAGGTGGTGACAGACATTATAAAAAAGAGGGTTCACACCTCTCTCCACACAGCATTTTTCCAAACCCACTGCTGAAGAAAAAACATCTGTGCTACTACTTTTTCCATCTTCAGTAGCTTCCAGAACCATTTCAGAACAGGTTGCATAAGAGTTTCTCTGTTCTGTTGTACAGAGATACCCATTCCAGAGATTTTTTAAGAATAATGAGGTGCTTTTACCTTTTTGTATATATGTATATATATTATGCCTTGAGATGACCGTGCCAATGTACTAGTTTTTAAACATCAGATACCAGTGAAGTGTATGACTGCCAACATTGTTCTGTTTTAGTATCAGCAAATGCTAAGAACCCTAAGATGTGTCTGTTCTTCATTCATGCAATGAATTCTGCACTAACCAGACAGATGCAGAGCAGCATACAAATTTGTACACAAGAAGGCGATACCATTCCCTTGCAACAAGAAGGAACTCAAGCCAATCACAAATATAAACAGCCCAAACAGTGAGGGCTACTACCAAGCAAGTCAAACTCAATTTGAATAACTAGGAGGAGGATTCTTCATGCAGACACTAGTTTGGTTTTGACATATTTTGTTAACTGCAATAGATTAGGTTTGTTATAGGTGGCTAAAACACAATTATTCCATGCAGTGTCTGTAACATGATTAACAGTAGTAATGGCTATCTCACACAGCCAACATACAAACTATATACCTAACAGTAGCCAGAGAAATTTAAGTGATAATAAACAGCTTGACTGTTTTAGCAAGCTAATGTTACAGATAACACACACACACACCATAAGTCATACAAACAAGCTTACCGGCAATGGAAACAGCTTCCCATTTACTTTAATACACAAACTATTAGGGTAATTATCTTCTTGAGGGCAGCTTGTCTCTGCTAGGCATAACCTATATCCCCAAAAAGAAAAAGCATAATTTTTAAGTGTCACCACATTTATATGTCCCCAGAAACATCTTATGCTACATTAGCCAATAAAAAGTTGTAAGAGAACACTATGAAAAAGGTACCTTAGCTGAACTTGGACTGTGTAATCTCTTCTGCCCCCAGGCAAGAAGTCCCTGTGACAAAGAGAAATAAAAAGAGAAGTATCCATTTAAACAGCAGGTCTCATATTCCAGTCATATGGAGAAAGAACTGGTACACCTGCTCCAACATCACTTAACTTTGCTCTTATTTTTCTTTTATTGAGCTATGAACAAGTCTTATAAGCAACACCTTCGTTCACCTACTGCAAGTTACACAAGACTTTAAGATCAGCATCCTGTGTCAAGAGTTTATAGTAACAATTAAGTATGATTTTGCCAGAGAAGAAAAAACCCTCTTGGCTTACACCATAGGTCTTGCAACAACATGAATCCTGTGACAAAAAAGCAGCCTTCTATTCCTGCAGTCAGGAAACATGCAGGGAAGAAAAGCTTACCACTTCTCTAAATAGTGACAATTATTTGGAACAGAGTAATCGTTAACTCTTTAATGGGGTAGGTTTTACCCTAAATGCACATAAATTCTGTGCATAGTAGTCCCTGAAGAAAACAGAACAGTTAGAGTAACTTCAGTGAGGATTATCATTCAGCATCTGCAAGCTTTATGTGCTGCATAAAAATGAACCAAAAACCCCACACTTTATCCTGAAATTTTGCAAAAGTTTACCTAGACTATGCCACACTCTTCTTACCTGGAAATACAGATTTCTCTGACCTGCTGAGGTGTTAAAGCAAAGATAAAAAACTTCTCTTGGAACCTCTGAATACTGCTCTGTACTACAAAAAGAGAGACACAAATGAGTTTTAACCATGGTAATTAAAGAAATTGATTTCTAAAGGATCTGCAATTGAGGGATTTGTTTTGGTTTGGTTTTTGGTTTTTTTTTTTTTTTGGAATGATGCTTAAGTCACTTATATTCAAATTGTGGTTGAGCTGCATGCAACAAAACCATCAAGAAGAAAGAATGGAACAAATAATTCATTCAACTGTATTCAGATGGCTTAATATCACATTACACTTCACTACTAAAGAAGCTTGTCAAACAGCATTATAATCCTTTCTCCTAGGAGAGAAAGGTTCAAACAAACACACACCAAAACATAACACAACTATTTTAATGTACTACAAGAAGAGAATGTACACCAAAACTTATTAATGGACAGATGAAAAATTCAGAAACAACTAATTGTAACTAAACCTTTGAGAAGAAGGGGAGAGGAGAAGGGGGAGAGGGAACACAACCCCTAAGGCCACAGAAGCCAGCTAGACTTGATGTCTGGGAATTACATCAGTAGCATTTAAAAATAAATAAATAAATAAATGGAACTTTCATATCGGAAACTGACTTGTCTGTCAGTGATGGGAAGCTGTAATATTTTAGTATTAAAGGTTCATAGTATGTACATGTTACTTTTTTACTTTCTTTCAACTTGAGAATTTAGAAATCTTGACCTGAAATAAAAGTACATTGGACTTGTCCAACAATTTAAAGTAAGAAGAAATAATGAAACACACAAAAATAGCACAACTAAACCAGGCAAATTTGGAAGAGCTACTAGACTGTCTTGTACACTGTGACATTGAGAGAATAGTATCTCTATGCCCAGAAAAAACACACAAAAAGGACACAAACATGAAATAGAACCCAGGTAGAGCAAACACACATCAAGTTCCTCAAAACAACTCAAACCAGCTACATTGTGCACATATGCATGCGTGCATACACACATACCACGTACAACATTTTATATTTTAAAATAATACTTGAGCGCATGTAAAAAATATCATGGAAATGTTTTGTTATTGAATTGAGTGTTGGTTAAAATGAAACTCCAGGCCTACACCTGCTCTTGTGTTCTCAGTGCAAAAGAATACCTACATTCATCTCTTTTAAAGAGTTGCAGTGAAGTGGACTATACTCCTAGCTCTCTGACCTACCTGTTATTTGAATCCTTAATTCTCAAACACACAAAACTTGTTTGTTCCATATCTCAATCACCCAGGTCTACTAACTGGGACTCTAAGCTATCCATATCAATAAAAAAAAAAATAAATAAAGGAAGCCTCATGTCCAAATTTGCACATGAATCCATGGTAAGAGTAATTTTCAGCCAATGCTCCTGTCCTTCTAAAATCAGTCATAGAATCATCAAGGTTGAAAGAGACCTTTAAGATCATCAAGTCCAAACGTCAACCCAGCACTACCACTGTAACCGCTAAACCCCTAAACCATATCACCCAGCACCAGATCCAGATACCTCTTGAACACCTCCAGGGATGGTGACTCCACCACCTCCCTGGGCAACCTATTCCAATGCTTGACCACTCAAACAGTGAAACATTTTTTTCTAATATCTAATCTGAATCTCCCTTGGCTCAGTAAGAGAGAAAGAAAAGCCCAGTATTTGCATATCATCCATTCCTCATATCTCATTTCCCCACTCCTCCTCACAAATATCTGAGTTGTGGTGCAGTCTGAAAGACTCCATGATCAGTTAAGAAACTAAAATGTATAAGAGGAGACAAACAGCTTGGAAAATGCTGAAGTGTTTCTAAACAAAACTACTAAATAGTTAGGGAACATTTTTTACTATGTAAGGTAAGCCAGGTTGAATTTCAAGACAGAAAACATTTCCAAATAATTAAATACATTGAAGAGTGAGGCATTTGAGGAAGTGAAACTTTCAGGTTATTTGGAAGACAAAGGTCCATCCAACATTTTAACATACAGTATGGCAACAACTCGTAGGCTGAGAAACCTTCACTAATCTGAGCACAACACTGAACAGTGCAGCACAAAGTATCTATTTCAGTGCCAGATATCAGAACCTGCAGAATTGTTGCAGCAAGATAAGGGCAAACTAACAAACCAGCACATTTGTTCTCTTTACATTGTTGCAACTTATTAATAATTACTGACCCTGAAATCCTTTTCCTGTTCACCCTCTGTATTGGGTCTGGCTAAGCTGGAGTTCATTTCCCCATATCAGCCTTCACAGTACTGTCCTTTGCATTGGTAGCAGGAAAGGTGTTGAAAACACACCAGTGTTTTGGCTACTGCTGAGCAGTGCTGGCACAGCATCAGCACTGCATCTCAACATTTTCCCCCCATCAAGGGGCTGGGGGTGGGCAAGATCCTGGGAGGGGACACAACCAGGCCAGCTGACCCAAACTGACCAAAGGGATAGGATATTCCATACCATACGACATCAGCTCAGATATAAAAGCTAAGGGAGGGAGGAGGAATGGTGGGGGGGGCATTTGTTATTCTTCCATGTTTGCCTTCCAAAGCAACCACTATGCATGCTGAAGCTCTGCTTCCTGGGAAGTGTCTGAACATCACTTGCTGATGGGAAGTAGAGAATAAACTTTTTTTCTTTTTGCTTGTGCTCCCACAAACTTTCACTTTTGCTTTAGTAAACTGCCTTATCTCAACCTACAAGTTGTTTTCCATCTTATTTTCTCTCCCCTGTCCCACTGGAGAGTGATAGAGCAGCCTGGTGGACGCCTGGCATCCAGCCAAGGTCAACCCACCACACCCTGACAGACGTGTTCCTCACTTGCACCAGGCAGAGACTTCAGGTCCAAATCTTTCAGCCAAAAGCAGAGGTTCAGACTAAATATTAGGAAGCATTTATTTACCAAAGAAGGTGGTCAAGCACTGGAACAGGCTGCTTAGATACGTGGTCAATGCCCCAAGCATGTCAGTGTTTAAGAGACATTTGGACAATGCCCTTGACTATTACTCTAACTTCTGGCCAGTTCTGAAGTGGTCAAGCAGTTGAAGGATCATTATAGGTACCTTCCAACTGAACTATTCTACTCTATTATTTAATATTCAAAAGACAGATCTTTAATCATATAATATTTACAAAAGAGAACACTGTTTTCTGAGGTGTGGCTTGGCACTGGGGAACAAGTGGTGAAGAGAGGACAAGGGTAGAGATGAGAAGGGAAGGGAGTTTCCACTTTTCCCCAGCTGCAAAAAGCCACTTAAGTCAACTTTGTACTGTCATTAGCAACACTTATTTCATTAATTAAGCAATCTACAGAACTACTAAACACTTACCTAGACTTGTAGGTTTTATGAGCACATCAAGCACATCATAAAATGGTAAGCTTTTCAGTTGAACATCAGGATGAACAGGTGGAATTGGAGGGGATGGCTGCTGCATCTCAAAATGGGGCTTAGTGTCTTGGAGGAACACAGAACTGACAGGTGAGGAAGCAGACTGAGGTGTGACTGAAGAAGAAGAGAGTGGGTGAATGCTAGCAACAGTGAGGTCAGGCTCAGCAGGAGAGGAACTACTGTCCAAATTGAAAACTGCAGGTTTTATAGCTGATAAATCTGAAAGTCCTTCAATCGTCTTTGGGTAACGACGCCTATAGAGCTCTCGGATTTTGATCTGAACTGCTGGGCTGCAGCCGATCTTCAGTAAGTGCAGTGCCCTCATCAGGAGGTCATGTTTCCGCCCGCTTTTATTACGTCCAGCAAACCCCAACAACACTTGTAGTTCAGAAACACGAAAACTTGATACCATATTCTAGAAAGAAAAGAGAGGTAAGCACAGGTAAACCAACAGTACCCCAAGTAAGCACTTTTGAGGAGCATGGTAAAGCATGTTAAATCATTCTAGTTTCACACTTGTTATCTCAGGTACTACCCGACACAAAAGTACAGTTAAAAACAAAGTGTCCAGGATTAAGACTGAGTTTGGTTGTATTATAATTTCAAAGACTTGTTTCCACACTCAAACAATAGCAACAACATAAAGCAACCCATGCATTAAATAGGTTAAATGAGTCTCAAATTCACAGGCAGAAACACAAGTTCTAACACAAATTATCTGAAATAAATGGGCAGGAGATCTTTCTCCTTTTTAATGCCTTTATTAAAGAGATTCAGCTCAGGTGGGGAGAAATCGACGGGTTGCGCCCACGCCGCCGCTGTCCCCAAGAGTGGCACGGAGGAGGAGGGTGATGCAGCTCTGTCCGCTGGTCTGCAGGCAGAGCTGGGGACTGCGTCCTCATGGGAGATTCGCAGATTCCTACTTTTCGGTCCAACACTTCGGGTCCCCTCCTTAGTGAACATCCTTTCAGGTCAGGGTGAGAAGCAAAAAGGATCCAAGCAGGTACTGGACTGCGCGCCCAGTAGTATCACGTTCAAAGCATCACCAGGCTTCTCCTACAGGATACTCTCCCAGGAGTGGCTGCCTAAAGGTGGCAGTGTTCTGGGCCATCCAATATATTTTCTCATTCTCTTGGTAAAGGATCAATTGGGAGAGGTTAACATGATTATAGTTTAAATCGGTGTGGACTCT